TTAAATGTTCAAATTAATTAAAATTGAATGATGTTTGAGAACTAAAAATCAGTACATATTTGACAGTGACATTTTGCACTCGCAAACTATTCGAATTCGATATTGGTTCGTGCTAAGAGTACTGAGATTAGTAGGTACTTTAAAAAAATAAAAACACTATTAATACTTAAATAGGCACAAGTTATTTTATAATTTCGTTGATGTCTTTTGCTTCTTCGCTTCAATATATGAATGATTATGTTTTGATATAATTTACTTTATCAACAAACTTTTGATATTAGTATAGATGTACGCTAGGTACCTATTTTCATATACTTCTTGAGCAGAAATGTAATAGTTTTTTATATAATTACAGTTTTTTTATATTCCTTCCTTTAAGGAGAGGGATCAAAACTGTATTACCTCCTTTAGTATATTCGCGGACAATTTACCCACGATTGCAATCTTGGCGTGAAGCGGCTACAATAGTGTCACCCGAAACCACTGTGCGGCTTGGGCGCAAAAGACAGGAAGCTATACGTACAAACTGAATGTACGATTGCCCGCCTACGTTATCGGAAACCTGTGATTAGTGTAAAGCACACGGCCACTTGAACGGAAACGGCTCGCTTAAGTATCGCTGATATTCAATTCGTGTAAGTAAGGCTGATAATCTTATAAATTATCGATATATATAAAAATGAGTCTATGAAATGTCTGTACTGAATAAGCGCATAACTTCCGAACGACTGCTTCAAGTTGGATAATTCTTTTTTGTGGTCGTTATTTTCAGAACAAGATTTGTATAGAATAAAATTTTAAAATAATCTAACAGAAATAATATTGGGATAACTCGTACCTATTATATATGTACTAGTTATTTAGGGGATAGAAATGACGTGGCGGACAAAAAAGCTCCTTAACATTGTTATACCTTTTTAGGAAGTTTATATGCTATTTTTGTTTTTAATATAGTAGGTACACGAAATAGATTTATTTTAAATATTAAATCTGGCTTTGCTAATAAAATTCCAGTACTTCTGAGGAATGCAACTCATCATTGGGAAGTGTTCATGGTCCTTAACATACTCCGACTAGCTTCGTTAGTGGTCGTTGGTGGGTCATAGGTGCGAAAAAAATGTCCACTCACTAGCATCCACAACTATATAAACATTCGGATGACGATAAATCATAACTACTTAATATCATACCCGTAATCGTATCTCAAACTCGTATAATATTATCTATACACATACATATATCTGTAGATCTAATCTATATAGAGATCGAAAACATATCTGTAATATCTATAATACCAAATAATACCATCAGAATACCTATAATGTTATGCGCTTAGTCGATGCTTGAAATGATAAGCTAACGCAATTTATGATTTCATTGTATTACATTCTCTATCAAATTCGGATTCATGATTCGGTTTATGACACAAATTCTGCCCTATTACATTAAAATCGAAGCCAAGAATGGGCACCAAGTATTATCTTACAATCCTACGAAGTATGGTCGGGTCAAGAAAATTTTTGTTAGTAACATAATTTTTTTATTGAAGCTTAGATTTTTCGGTTCAATTTAAATTGTCTAAGTATGCAGCGTAAGGGTTTTTGAATAACACAAATGTCATTTGGCTTTTGTACACATATAGTATTTCCTAGATTGAGTCGACATATTTATCCTTGAAAAATGTTAGATTCCTGTGGGGTGTTCAAAAAACTAAAGGTATCGTGAACGAAGTCGCGAGCGAAAGTTCGTGTTTAATAAAAAAAAGTTATAATAAGTATGCAATAAGTAAGTATGGATCTGGCCACGTCGGCCGTGTTGCTCTATGGTTTTGGACATACTCTCTTATTAACTGCCCTCTTTCATTCACACGTTTGGTGAGCGTTGAAGAAGTTTTATGTTACCTTTATTGCTTAACTAGCGGCCGCCCGCGACTTCGTACGCGTGAAGTTAGTCATTCGTTGTTACAGAATGCGTTGAAGAAATAAAGGTTCGCTGCTCATTCCCCGTAGGTGATAGCGTGATATTATGGAGCCTATATGTTGACCCGACTTCTTAATAATATTCGTGCCATATTTAAAGTGAATTTTTGAGTTTATCTCGGACAAACTATATTTTTGGCTTCGGTATCGATTGTAGATCACAAGCCAAGTATTCTTTTTAAAAAATATTCAATGTACAGTTTTGAATTTCCTACCATTTTATTATATGTATATAGATTAATTAAATTTATTGTGCATAATAATTTGTATTATTCGTACAAGTGTATTTAAAACAATCTTAAAATCTGATTTTAACAGGCAGGTGCAACGAGTGATAACAAGCGATATAAAAACCAATTACGTATGATTTTCTTTGCTCAATGTGTTATTTTTACGTAACTACATAAATAAAAATAAAATCGAAGTTAATGTTTCCTCTTTCATCTTACCGAAACTGGACATTAACAAGTGTCCCATATATCAGAACTCCGATTGTCGGCTAGTTTCATCACATGTTACTCGTATCTTTCGTATAATGATTAAGGGTGTCTATTTTTTTTGTTGTGTGCAAAAAGCAGTAGCCCCGAAGATTTATGGCGTGAAGGGAACGATCATAGCGCATTAGTGTCCCGTATTGTCCTCTGCATGTGGCTTTTGTAAGTCTGGCGGACGGAGAGCGGACAGTAGCCCTATAGTGTCCCAATACAGAATGTACAGCGATCGTCCCACTGCGAAGCATTGTTCTATCACGTTGTAAACATGTCGACAGGTTAGTGCAATTGTGAAAAAGTGTACAGAATTTTTTAAGAGTACTTACCAACTCTCAGTAATAGTAACGTTTAAACGCGAAGTTACGATCGGTCGGTCCGCAAGTGACCGTTCGCAGAATGCTTTTGTTTTCAACCAACAGTGGGAGTTATTGTTTGAGATTCTTACTGGTGTATGTTTTTTTTTTCACATAATTAATGAATTTCACTTCCGTGTAGTCATTTGAACTGCAATGAGAGAAATGATTCGCATAAAATTAGAAAGAAAAGGAATAATGTATACTCGAATAATAAGTAAGTGGATATTGTTACCGTAAGTATGGATAATGTAATATTAAGAGATGTAGATCATATTAGAGGATTTCCCGCGTTCATTTCTCATTTTCTGAAGGGTGCAATTTGAAAGTGTGTGCTGAGAAAGTGTTGGGGTTTCAATACTTAAGAAGCATGGTTAATTTAAAAGGAAGCACACGATTCGTGAATTCCTGCGAAATCAGAGACCCGAGCACGAATTTCAACAGCTCCTTTATCGTCAAATTTCGTAGGGAAGGAGTCAGTTTGTTCTTATGTCGTGTAGGGGCGCTAGTTAGTTTTCATAGATACTTTTACGATACAGCATTTTATTTTCCAGAAACATGACTTGAAAATTATGAACACAGCTAAAACCGAGCTAGAACTATATTCAAGCCGTCCTCAAGTCATTCAAGTGGATTTTTATAATTACGTTGAAAGATTAGTCGAATACGTTTATTTATTTTGTAATCACGAATATTTCAACACGACCATCTTTTAAAATTTGCCACCTTGTGAGAGAGGAGTCATATGTGTGTATTTTGAAATGTCTGTAAATGCCTGAAAACAGAAGATATAAAGCATTTGTGTCGATCAAACAAATTCAAAATTCCAATTAAATGCTGAAAATTATAATCTAAAATATAAAACTTCATCTGACCGACAGAAAAGAACACACAATTAGACAAATAAAAAAATATATTAAGCGGCAAAACAAAACGTTAGTTCTCTCTATAGAGAGCGGCGCGTTTTAAAACAAAAGCACGGGAACGATTTAACAAACTGCCATATTTTAACAACGTGTAATTAAAGGTTTGGTCGGTCGAATATGCATAAATCATGCGTCTGCAGCGAACTCCCCACCGAAATAGAGAAAAAAAGAAAAAACATTAACTGGGCCCAGGCCGGGACATGAGAACGCTGATAGGTGAATTAGCTACGCGGCGCTATCTACAGGATCAGCGTATGGTCGTTATAATACTTCTTTATTACATTAAGAAAAACGAAACAAAAATTAGATTCAAATGAAAGTCAAATTTTCCTTGCGTGGGAAATTATGGAATTAATTTTTGGCTTATTTATTTATTTATTAGACTAATCAACATCTGTTTACAGTAAACTGTTACAGACTGCAACAGACACTTACAGGTTAGTTCCGCATGCGTTAGTTAGAGCGACAACAATTTATTTAACGACAAGTGCCAGAGGTTTGATTCGATTATCTATATGTTGACATTTTATGTTGTATCTTGGCATCACATAATATGAAACATTTCACTATTGAACCGGTGATTATGATAATTTTGTTAATTTTCCGAAGATGATTACAGATAGAATTCTCGTTTGGACAGTATATAATAAGTTCGGTTGGTCAGAAGCGATGCATATGAAGAAGAAATTCAGTTGATGAGTTTTAAAATAGTTTTCCTTTAGATCCAAAACAATTAATATCTCAATAGTCAATTAAAGTATTTTGTACCAATAGAGCATGTTTATTTACTCATCGGCTATCTAAGAGTTAAATCCAATATTAAATTTCCAATCATCATAAACTTCAAAATGGATTCAATTTGCCATAGGTATAATCATTACCAACGCCGCACGGCTATCGAAGTAGATTAGTCACCGAATACAAATAAACGTTACCACCTCTTAATAGCGGTTAATAAAAGCGGACGTAACTTTGTGCTCGGATCGTTTTCCCATAAGAGTTCGAAGCTCATAATTCACGGGTGTGGTGGGGTGGAGGCTGTGCGGGGTGTGACGAGGGGAGGGAAGGGGAAGGACTGCGCGCGCGCCGCTCGAGTAGGGCCCTGAGGCAGGGGCCAGCGGGGTCCGGGGCGAGGTGACAACCGCTCGTTACGTCTATCCCAAGCCAGTTATTAAAAACGTCTCGGCGCGAGCGGTGCGCCACCCTGTAATTATCCAGTTGATCCGTCGCGCTACGTTGTCACCGCCGGAAATGCAGTACGTGGATCCGCCCGCGCAACAGGTCTGTCCGCCCGCCTATATTACTGTACACGCCCTAGCGCTTTGTTTACCCGAGTTTTCAATTAACTGAGTACATTTAGAAGTGAAATCATTTTTTATAGTATTAGCGGCTCCCAAATTAGGTTCTTATAAGTGTTCTAATTTTTGTGTGTGTTTCTTAATGTACTAGGAGTGATGTGTTTTTAAAAGTAATCATTACTATCGTGACAAATAATATTTTTTTTTATGCAGATGATGAATATGATGCCTGCGTACAGTTGCGGGTATGGGCGAGGGGACACTTTGTCTCCGGCGTCCGATATGTCTTCGTGCAGCAGTGCGTCCTCAGGGGCTTGGTGCGGCGCCGGCCCGTGGCGGGATCTGCCTTACCCGCAGTACTCGGCCTACTGGCCGCCAGCCGCCGCCGAAGAAGCCAGGGAACTTCAGCGCCGTTGCGCCAAGTGCCGGTGCCCCAACTGCCTCACTGAAGCCGCCGGCTTCGGTCCCAACTACGGAAAGGACGGCGTCAAAAGGGAACACGTCTGCCACGTTCCCGGTTGCGGGAAAGTGTACGGAAAAACCTCGCATCTAAAGGCCCATTTACGTTGGCATACCGGCGAGCGGCCGTTCGTATGCAACTGGCTATTTTGCGGCAAACGTTTCACCCGCTCCGACGAGTTGCAGCGGCATTTGAGGACGCACACCGGGGAGAAGAGATTCGCTTGCCAAATGTGTACGAAGAGATTTATGAGGTCCGACCACTTAGCGAAGCATGTGAAAACCCATGCTAATGTATCCAGAAAGAACAAAAAAGCGAAGGAAGATGAGAAAGATGAAGCTCCGCAAGAAAAAGTGCCAGAGCAACAATCCAACTCTGTTACACCAGCGTCTTCTACAAGTGCCCCATTGACGACAGTCGGTAGTACCAATTATGGAACTGTGCCGGTCGCAAGCGTTGCGAAGCCGATGTCCCTAAACTATGCTGCAGTGGCACCGAATTTTGCAGCCACTTCAAACAGTTATATGTACCCGAATGGATCTATGATGAGCGGATGGTACCCGGACGTGAGACAAGATCCGTTGTACGCCCGAACCCCGGTCAGAGACCCTCGGTACGCTGGTGCAGTGCAGTATCAACAATACCAACCAATTGCCTCGTACCAATGTGCCAGTAAAGAAAACTACGCCATGTTTCAGGGACATTACAACTTACAACCACCAGTTGCTCTCGGACAATAATAACTGATTAAGTGGGATTATAATATACTTCAATGTGATGTTTTGTGTCATGGTATTGTAAATAAGTGATTGTTATTGATTTACCGTTTAAGGTTTGGACGTTATCTCTTATTAATTGTTAGTTACCACAAATATATTATTGTGATTCTTCTAGTTAGGATAATAAGTAAATGTGCCTTGGTGACTGTCATGAATAACTTGATAAATAAATAAAAGTATAATTTGTCTGAATCATGTCATTTAATTTCATCGTTGCTGTGTAGTAATCCTAAACTGACAGATTTTAAAATTCAAGAAATGGTAGTCTCTGAAATTCAAATTGGTATTTACCGCAAATATTAAATCATAATACCTTTAGTAGTTATTTACATGAACATAGAGAGGAGTAAATACAACACTTATTAATAGACTCCCCAAATGATAGGAAATCAGTATAAAATCAAATGATATACCTAAATGTATTCAGAAAATAATATAAGAATCAAATAATCTAAAAATGGAGCAAACGTAGCGTTACGTGATAACAATATTTTGCTACGGTACTCGTAGCAGCTACGAATTGGGTTTAAAAAAATTAAGAAAAATAACTGGTTTCCTTTAACAAAATCTTATTTGTGCACTAGGTCTGAATTAAGCTGTGTTTTAAGAATTATTTGTAAAGATTCATTGTTTTTTTATGTTTGGCTATATGATTAAACTCATCAACTTATTTTGTATTACTATATAATTCAATTTTATCTATTTTGAAAATGAGTATATATGTAAAGTTCATCTGTCGTTCTTGCTGATTAAAGGTATTCGTAATTAGTATTTTGGCCTTGGTTAATTTATATACTAATTACCTATTATGTTGAACTTTATGAGGTTTTTTCTTAAACATAACAGTTCATTACGAGATATTTTTTTAAGTACACACAATAGTGTCTATATAATTTGGATTTAATATGATTTTAAAGAAGCAGAAAGAATTTAAATTAGATAATGCAGTCGTAGTAAGAAGTGCATCGAGTCTTACTTCTCGACGCTAGATGTCGCTAGAGGTAAAAAGATTGCGATGTCGCGAGCCGCGGTGAGGTAATTGCGCTGCTATTAACTGGGCGGCGCGCTCGGCGCGCATGGCGGCGGTGCGAGCGGGATGCACTCGATAATACGTAAAACAAAACGAGGGGGTAATAATGGTAAAAAACGAGCAGCACGCAAATTATAGTGAGAAATGAGGCAGCCGGTAGCGGTGGGGGTTAGGTTATGCGGTGGGGGCTCGCCGGCAGTCGCGGCCGCTCGGCGCACGCAGACCGCCCGCGCCGCCTGCGCCGCCGCCTCCACCTCGCGAGTGTTGTGTTGTGATATGCGCCACCGTCGCCGCCATGAGCGGCAAGCCCTCCTCTCCGGACCTGCTCATGAATGTGAGTCCAGCGATCATGCCTTGCTCGCGACACTCGCCTCATTCTACTCCAACTCTCATTCTTTCTGCTTTTTAGTATAAGAACTTTGTGATGCGCGATTTATATCTGTATTTCGCCATTTGGGATGTCGCTTAGTTAAGCATCTTCTTCTGAAGAGTCTCTTAACGGCTTAGACGGCTTAGTTTTATCGACTTGTCAGTAAGTATTTTAACTGAGCACTCATAATATCAGCTGTTCTAAATGAAGGTGTATCTAACGAACGGAAAATCAAATGTCATATAGTAACAAAGCCTATTTCACGCTTTACAAAGCGTGATATCAAGAATAAACAAGCCAAATAGGTGAATTCTCGAAACGGTTTATTAGCCGGAGCACCCCCGGGTATTGTCGATTTAGCACGCACCATAAGCGGCGCATTACCCGGGCGCGGCCGGTCTCGTGGGCCCGGACCCTATTACTATTCATGGTGGCCCCGGGGTCGAGAGGACCCGAACTAAACCTCCATATATGACGGAACACATTATGTGGAAATTTCCTCCATTTCCTACTTTTGAATAGTAATGATAATACCGGACGTAGGCTTTTGAATAATATAGGTCTATTTGTCAAATTATTGTCAAATATCAGTTTCTTTAGTAAAAAACTGTTTATTTACTCAAAAGTTAATAAAATTAAACGCAACGACCGACCGGTCCATTTCTAAATTTTATTGTTTTGAAAACCACAAACATTATTTAAAGTGCAGTTTACGTCACATAAACACCATTGTTATTATAGAAATGGGCCATTACCTTTAGTTCCGAACGTTACTAACAGTCAATAAAAACTATCGAAATGTTAATTCAATTAAGTTTAAAATAAGGTGGCGGCGCTTTCGAGGGCCGTGACGAATCCTTAATGACACACGGCCTTAGTCCATTTTCTACTCAATTTCCTATTCATATTAGTTTAATCTAAAAGTAGGACTACTGGCGCCAAAAATTATGCCGAGCCGGCCGTGTCTGCTAGGTTAATCTGTTTAGTTATATTGTTCGTGCCGGCCTCTTTGTGCGGTGAAAAAGGAAGAAATTTATGCTTTTCGGCGCTGTGTGAGTTTTTTGTGGGGGATGTAATTAATAATTCGGCGGCAAAACTAACAGTGTTTTCGTTGGTGCGTCTTGCTCCTGTGATTGATGTGCTCAGACGGATGCAATTAACGCCAATGGACTTGTAGTTTTAATGCCCTCTATATTATATTATTGTTTCTACTGTAGTAAATGTGTCTCCGAGGATGAAGATGCATCTTAAAATTACAAAACAGATGTTTTTTTATTTTTGCATATATGTACACTCATCAATAAAATCCAAGTAACATGCATCATTTACACAAGCTGCATATTTTATTAGTTAATATTTTATATTATCGTTTTGAAATGTATAATTCATTCAAAGGGTTTCTTGGTTTAGTCACTAATTATTAAAAAGGAACACAAGCATTAAAAAAAATTAAATCGGTCGATGGTTGAAAAAACTTCAGTTGCGTAGGCTCTTTTGATGAGTATATTTTTTATGCTTAGGCTCACACGGCCTCATAAATAAAACTCTTTTTTATATTATAATTAACGGATGACAATTATATAAAAATACGTTATCACAAGACTAAGAAGATTGTCTACTTAAATAATTAAAACTTAAAAAAAGATCTATAAGTTTATTGAAAAATTAAGGCATAAAAAAGTAACGTAAGTGAGTTTATAATGTTAAAAATAATGGCGGCGATGGTACATTCTCATATAAGATGAAATACGTTCGAGTCAGCAGTATTTAGTAATGATTAATACTCAAGTATTAAAGTGTAATGTAAAGACACACATTTTACAATGCTTTCAATATAAGTCTTTGCATTTTTTACTCCGCTTTTTCTTAACAATTGTAGTGGCTGTTACTCTTTGAAGTTTTTCTTTAATATCAACGTTAAACACGGTTATTATAGCGTGCGTGTAATCGTGGGAACTGTTATTTATCATAAATACTTGTCAAGTTTTCTCAAAGGCGCTGAGGTGTCGTAGTTTTTGTTCCGTTGCTTTGTTTTTAAGCGTTGCGGTTGAGAAGTCTGTATCTAAATCTATAGTTCTTTTGTCGCTCAGATGTGTAACTACTAAGTAGCGGTTAAATATTTGAACCTTAACATTTAATATAGATACATAGAAACAAGTGAGGTTACTAAACTATTGTTTATAATACGCATTACTATAATGTATGCATATGAAACAAAACTTAATTCTTATATGCCGCCTATTGTGTACCTATGATTTTACTGTCATTTTTTTACTGATATGTCTTATATGTCCTGTGAGGTGTATGTCAATAAAGAATATTATTATTTTTCTCTTATCTCTATTGCTTAATAGTTGAACCAGCTATCATTTTCCTACTATTGCTAACGAAAAGTGATCTCTAATGATAAGGTTATATAAGGAATAATACAGGAACACGTTCGTGTTTTAAAGAAGCACGAACACAAAATGGCAATAATACTTCAAGAGACGTTCTTGACTTTCATTTGTTTGTATAGTGTTCTCCTATTATCTGTGTATTTGGAAACGTGTTCGACCGGAACAGAGAGCCGGCGTGGGTGTTGCGCCCGCGCCCGCGCACTCGCACTCGACGCGCACACTACAACCACAATGGCCCGGGGCGTGCTCTGACCTTGTTTATTTACCGGAATCGGCCATACACCTCGAAAATATTTTCTTGTACCTACGTACAGAATTTGAATTGCAAAGAAAGCAAAAAAAAACATATATATGAATGATAGAATATGATATTGATGTATAATGCAACAATAAATGATTTTGATTTCAATAAAAAAAATGATATAATTTCTCATTCTAAGAGTGGTTTTAATAGATATTAAAATCACTCATAGAATATGAAATTGTATCTTTTTTAATTGATTTCAATAACAAATAATAAATGATAGGTAACATGAAATATATTGTTTCATTATACACTAAAAATATAATATTCTGCTTGCACCTGAATTTCTATAAGTACATATATATATATTAGTTATGTTAACGCATCTAAATAAAACACAAATGTGTGCACTCTCCTCACATAAATGGCAAATCATTGAAATAGTAACACAGTTATTGTTTATTATTATTAGGCTTTTTTCATTAGTAAGAAAGTTCTACAGAGCTTGCCTTTCTACTTACATAGTTTTTCGAAAAACTTATAACAAAATAAAGGTTATTATATATGGCCCTCTATCTTTTACCCTGGACTCCGGTATACGGTGTGAAGATGAGTCCACTTTTTAATAAGTTCTATAATTTGAAATAATTTAAAATACTTATATTTTATATAAACTATAAACCCATAGCAACAATAAAAGCGAAGGTGCTTGATATCCTTGATCGGCGTACGAATGAGCACATTAATCTGTACGATTTCCAGTTTGAGTTTCAAAAAGGGTTGCCAACAGAGAGTGCTTAAGAGTAGCGTCAGATACTACACGGACAGAAGTACGCCAGTGTACCAGTGTTTCTTAGATCTGTTCAAAGCTTTTGATATGGTGTCATATCAAGTGTATTTTGGGATAAACAAGATGGG